AGCCTTAGATGACAACAGCAAGTACTTATTTCAAGCAAAAGGATGAAAACAAAGTTGTGTAGTAGAAAAGTGTAGCGTCAGCACAGTTGTATGTGATTATACTTGAGTAGATCTGTGTACTATATATCTTTTCCTTCGTCTCAGATATTTCCTAATACAGATTTATAGCCAAAATTGCCTTTCCAAGTATATTAGTCTAATGTAAAAATTTCTTTAGAAGCCCTAACCCGAATAAAAATCTTTTAGTCATTATAAAATCCTTGCTTGTTGAACATGAAGAAAGAAAGAATTGGCTTTTGGCAGCCCAATCAGTCAATAGTCTTGAGTACTTCCTACTTAGCAGGACAATTTTAACCTTCAGATTGCTGCCTATATCGGTTTATAATGCAGCAGAAAAGAAGTTGAAAAGATGAGCTCTTTGAAATACAGAGATTCCACCTGAAGTCTTTTGAAGGCAGAAAACTGTCAATTAAAAACAACTCTCCCTCCACCCACACCCCTACAAGACCTTACCTTTAATAATATGGAGCTGGTTCAACTAACCCGCATCTCTTTTGCTTTTAAAGATGAAAGTCCTTAGGATTAAAAATACAGTGAAATTGGCACCCACCTCCCATACCAACTGGAATGAGGTAAAAACAACAACAAGGAGATTATTTCAAGGAAAGAGATTGTAGTTCTGGAATGTCAGAGCCCAAATCTCTACTTACAATCTTCTCAACATCAACAAATAGCAGAAAGTATGGCATAGCACTATCACCCCTAAAGATATTCATATAATCTCTTAAAACACCTTCTCAAAGATGTTTTAAAAGAAACCTTCTCCCCAAATGGTTCCTAACTTGCCCTAACTTGTCCTACTTTTGGAATGCAGCCCTCAAGCCAACAGAAGCTGCACATCTCTATGCATAAATTTTTCTCCGAGTTTTGATATGCCATGAACTGTCTATGAGCTTCTTATGCAGCCTCTGCAATCTAGCAGAAGTTCCCTTTGTTTGTCATCTTGTTTATATGCTGCTCAGAACCATATGATTCTCAGAACCATATGATGCCAGAAATAAGCTAAGGTGTTTAGTGACATCTTTCATTTACATGTTCCAGAAAAGCCATCTGTTCTTTAAAAGTAGGTGTTCCAGCCAAAACAACTATCCTCCTTTCTTGCATTGTTTCACAGTGTACCCACATAAAATAAAAATAACCATTTTTTCCCCTATAAATCAGCTCAATATACATGTTGTTTAATTTCAGAAGGAAGAAATGCAGACAGTTTTCTTGTTTTATAATAAAGGTAGGGAGAGTCAAAGAAAATTTCAGTTTACACACATTTCCTTGATATTCCTTGAGTATAAATAAAGTAGGAGTAGAAAGAACCTAAAATCTAATCAGGTTCTTAATCTCTCATTTAAAAGCATAAAAATCTGAATCATATCAAAGGTCTTGTTAGATCAACCTTTTTTTTCTCACAGTGGCCAATTGGATTACTGACAAGCAGGTGGTGGAGACATTCCTGGCACACAATTGTTCTTCTGCAAGTACTATACAATATATGGAAACACTACTCCCAGTCTGAAGATAACTTTAAGTCTTCAGCCACTGTTGATAGACTGTCCTCTATTAATTTATCCAATCCTTTTGAAGCCCTCTAAGATAATGGCCATAATGATGTGGAATGAGTTCTACAAGTTAATTAAGATTTTATGAACAAGTACTTTTGCCCTACCTTAAATCCCCTTCGAATTAGTTTAATTTATATGTGTATGTGTGTGTGTGTGTGTGTGTGTGTGTGTGTGTGTGTAGGTCTTTGGTTATTCGGGTTTTCTTCCATGTAAAATTGGAAGTGTCTTGGCGACGTTTCGATGAAGTCTCATTCATCATCTTCAGGCTGGTGTTTTCGGCTTCGTGCTTCTAGGAGCAATGTGTGATCACAGCTGTTTCTTCCTTTTAACTGCCAGTGGGGGTGTGAACTGATTGGGTGGGAGCTTGGCTGTGTTCTGATTGGTTGGAGGTATGTTCTGATTGGTTGGGGGCTTGGCTGTGCTCTGATTGGATCGGGGGTTGGCTGTGTTCTGATTGGCTAGGGGTGTATTCTGTCTGGGTGGGGCTTGGTTGTGCTCGGGTTAGTCTGAGTTGCAGGGGGATTTGAGCTGATGAGCTGCGTTGCTGTTGTTTGGCTTTGCATTTGTGGTTGTGCCACATCTTCATGGTGGGTGTCAGTTTGCTTCATGTATGGATTGGAGGGGTTTAAAGTGGCTAATGATGCAGCTGTGGTCTGGCTTCTTGTTTGTGGTCGTGCCTCATCATTGGTGTGGGTTTGGGTTTGCTTTTTGCGTGGATGTGTGGAGGTGACGTCCTGTGTGGTTTTCATGAGTGTCAGTCTGGTGTTATTCTTTGTGTTTGGGATTCGTTTGTCAATAAGGGCGGGTTTCCAAATGGCTGGTAGGTGGGAAGTATCATCTCTTTTATTCATGCTGTGGGGACATTTTTCTCAGAACACACCCCCAGCCAATCAGAGCACAGCCAACATCCCACCCAATCAGAGAACAGCCAAGCCCCCTCCCAATCAGAACATACCTCCACCCAATCAGAACACAGCCAAGCTCCCACCCAATCAGTTCATACCCCCACTGGCAGTTGAAAAGAAGAAACAACCACAATCACACATTGCTCCTAGAAGGACAAGGCCGAAGACACCAGCCTGAAGATGACGAATGAGACTTCGTCGAAATGTCACCAAGGTACTTCCAATTTTACGCGGGACAAAATCCGAATAACCAAAGACCTACATACAAATACCCGCGAAAACCTCAGGAAAAAATATATTGTGTGTGTGTGTGTGTGTGTGTATAAATATATATATAGGGAAGGAGAGAGGGAGGGAGGGAGGGAGGAGGGAGGGAGAGATCATCCTATGCATTTTCTCCGTACCATGCATTATTTTATCTATTTTCTCTGTACCATGCATTATTTTATTTTTCTCATAACAAACATGTTCAAAGCCCAGGGTAATGTAGGTTTCTCTCTTATGTCCTTGTTTTAGGTCTGTTAGAGTTTGTTTGTTTGTTTTTTAAATGTGGCAACCAGAATTACATTCAATGCTCCAGATGGAGATGCACCACAGAATTGAATACTGTAAGGGTATTACAATATTGACCATTTTATTTTCAATAACTTCCTAACGATCTCTAGCATGAAATTGCTTTTTTCATAGCTATTGCACAGTGAATTGACATCTTTATAGAGCCGTCCATTTTTTGTATTTCCTTATTTGGAATAATCATGATAAGATTGGAAACTTGGAGTTTTATTTTTGATTAAGCATAATTTACTGTTATGCTAAACTATAAATGTGGTGAATTTTAACTATTATTTGTGTAAGCATTCAACTGCCAGGTGGGTTGGGGCTCCAATGGGGAAGCACCACACTGGAGGAAACTGATGAAGTAAGAAGCAATCCCCCTCCCCCAACTATTGTCCCAAAGGTGCTTTTTTTAAAAGAGACAACTGGACTTTCTGGTTTTTCTTTGAAGACGTTTCGCTTCTCATCCAAGAAGCTTCTTCAGTTCTGAAGGGTTTTCATCCCAAAGTGTATCGCTAAATGTCTATGGAAATTCCCAGTCACCCAGGTCATGGTTGTCCCAATGCTTTCGCTTTCTCATCCAAAGAAGCGTAACTTCTTCATGTTGTGACATGATGACTGAGAATTTATTTATTTTATTATTTATTTATTAGTCATATTTCTATGCCGCCCACTCTCCGAAGACTCTGGGTGGCTTACACCAAAGACAGTCTGCTAAATAGCATATTGCCCCCAACAATCTGGGTCCTCATTTTACCCACCTCGGAAGGATGAGTCAACCTTGAGCTGGTGAGATTTGATCCGCTGATATGCTGAACTAGCAGTCAGCTGAAGTAGCTGCACTACTGCACTCTAACCACTGCGCCACCTCGGCTCCATAGAGAATCAGAACTACTGTGTTCTAAATATCAGGCCCTCTGAATTTAGAACTCCAATGAAATGTTTACACAATCATTCTAGACCACTATTTCAAAGTTAGCATCATGTCAATACTCTGGGGCATCATATCCACACTGTTTACATTCAATTCTAAATGAAATTTTTACCAAATGATCATGATGTTATAGGACAGGGGTGACATCAAGCAGGTTCTGACAGGTTCTGGAGAACTGGTAGTGGAAATTTTGAGTAGTTCGGAGAACCGGTAAATGCCATCTCTGGCAGGCCTCAGAGTGGGGAGGGAATGGGGATTTTGCAGTATCCTTCCCCTGGAGTGGAGTGGGAATGGAGATTTTGCAGTAACCTTCCCCTGCCATGCCCACCAAGCCACACCCACCAAGCCACACCATGCCCACCAAGCCACGCCCATAGAACCGGTAGTAAAAAAAATTGGATTTCACCACTGGTATAGGGTAGATAGATGCTGTTTGGAGTGCTAAATGGTCTGTCAGACCAGATGTGCCAACTTCTCTGCGTTGCAAGGATTTGCCCTATCCCCAATAATATTTTTTTGTTTAAAAAAATATTTGCCACGGTCTTATTTAGTAATAAGTCTCTGTTCTTCAGAACCATTACAAAATCAGTTATTCCAGAAGGAATTATTGTGGTGGAGAGTGGATTGGGAAAACAGAGAAAATACATAAATCTTTAATATTATATAAAGGAGAAATACCCAAACAGCATTTTTTTTTTGGGGTGAGGAGATAAGTGAACAAAAGTGTTTCAAATTTTAATCTGTGAAATATTGGAAGGACAGGCAGTGAGTCAGATGTATAGCTTAATGTCTTGTCTTTTACATTTTAAGAATAGAATATAAAAAAGGAAGAAATAAAATGCTATGAAAATAAATTCAGTTTATATTGCTTTAACTGGGTTTTTTTTGTTGCTGTTGTTGTTTTCCAATGGATTGTCACTTGCTATAACACTCTCTTGTGCGGTGCTATAAATATTTTAAATAAATAAGTGAAATAATAGCACAACTCACCGGAAAATAAAGAAGCAGTGATCCAAATAGGATAGACTCTAGTAGAATAAGTCCAGATGCCCTGATGCTCTAGAATAAAGAAAGCAGACACAAGAATTTAAAGCTTTACTTCCTGTACTTACATTAGATAAATCCAAATGGATCTATAATCCAATATTATATTGATAGACAACTCCACATATTCAATATACTTTATAATTTTTGGTACCTATCCCGCAATCCTATTTGCATTTCAATTAATCCAGATAGTGAATATTGAGATATAAACTACTTTCACTATGTTTGCTTATAACTAAGTTCCTAACTCTGAGTCTTATTTTCTCTTTAATTTGTTTATGCGTGTAACAATAACTATACTAATATCTTGGCAAGAAATATCCAGCATAAATTGGTGGATTCTATTTTAAGTAGTTTTCTTAATTAATGCTCGGAGTCTCCTCAGATAAACATCACACCTACAATTCAAAATGATGCAGAAGTAACAATTTGTCCCCAAACCATTCAGAGTCAATATGGATTATCCATTCGCTATCGCTTGAATTTCTGTAAGGAATATCAGTATCCTAGAAGAAATGGTAGTTTTATTGTTTTTCCAGGACACATCCCACTCTTCTGATTAGGAATTATAATGCTACTGTATATACAGTATACTTTAGAAGTATTCCTGAAATTTGCACTGCAGATATGCTCAAGTTTCATTTCTCACTTTCCACGTCAACTTGTATATCTTCTGATTACTAAATGCAACATATTAGTTATCTCATTAACATTTGGGGCAATTAAAGATCCTCATTAACATTTGGGGCAATTAAAGATCCTTAATTGACATGACAGAACTCACTGAGTTTAAGCAGAGCTTTTAAAGCGACATGATTACTTTTCTATTGTTTCAACATCCCACTACGCTAATAATATATATAACACATTAACTATCAGACAGTAAATATAATTGGACATTAACATCAAACTTCTGAGGGAGGCCATCTGGAACTTTGGAAAGGAGAGTGATCCAGATGCTGGTAACACTCAGATCTTCTGCTCCTTATCTTGTAAGTGTAAGGAAGCAATCAGTATTCTTAAATATTGTGCAATTTCAATAATGAGATGGACGAGAGGGGGAAGGGTGAAAGTAATCCAGACAAGGTAGAGGTGCTGTTGGTAAGGAAAAGTTGGCCCTTTGAATTAGGCTGAGTCCTGCTTTGCATGGGAGCATATTTTTCCATGAGGAAGATGATTGCAGTTTGGAGTGATTCTTGATCTCCACCTGCCACTAAATTGCCGAAAAACCAGCCATAGAAAAGAGTATGTCTGCACAATTATCTTAGTGTGTTACACTACTATTTCCTGGATTAACCATTAAGCAATTTAAGCATATGCTAAGGGCATCAAGGAAAGAGGGTCACCACAGTATTCCCTCTCCCCAACCTATTTACCCTTAACTCTTTCATACTTGACTTTACTTGATTTTTTTTTTATTTTTTTTTGTAATTGTCCTTCCCTGCTGTATTCAACTTTAATCTGCATTGGTAAAAAAATGTTACCTTTGGCATGATGAATGACTAAACTTTAAAAGTTTTGTTTGATGGTATCAACAAAATATCACATTTGTTGCCACCCCATGGTTTTAGAGTTTCACTTCTGCCAAAGATCATCATTGCTGTGCTGTGCTTAGGTCTTCAGTTGGTCTTAATATGGTCCTGCAGTTATCCATGCTTAGTTACAACTTCCTTTGACTCGCCTTATGAGTGATACATCAGGCTACGTTTAAAAAGCCTGGAAGCAGGGGTGAAATCCAGAAGGTTTTGACAGGTTCTGGAGAACTGGTAGCGGAAATTTTGTGTATTTCAGAGAACTGGCACATACCACCTCTGGATGGCCCCAGAGTGGGGTGGGAATGGAGATTTTGCAATATCCTTTCCCCAGGAGTGGGAAGGGAATGGCGATTTTGCAGTATGCTTCCCCTGCCATGCCCACCAAGCCACACCCACCACCATGCCTACCAAGCTATGCTCACAGAACCAGTAGTAAAAAAGTTTGGATTTCACCACTGCCTGGAAGTTATGGTTGGTGAAAAATGCAATGGCTACCCAGTTGAACGAGGAAAGGAGAAGAAATGGTGTTTATACTTAAAGATTTAAACTGGCTTCCAATTGCCTCCTGGGTTTGACATTGTCTTTCAAATCTTTAATGGTTTATGGTCTGACAGCCTATGGAACTTCTCCCACTGCGAACTTCATCAACTATTTAGATATGAAGAAAAAGCCCTTCTGAAGATCTCCTGATGCCACGGGGTTACCATCTTCCACAAGGATCTTCTCCTCTGTGGCTTCCAGGCTACTGAATACAGTTTTAGAGATGTACTTTCGACCTCCCAATATTTAAGATGTTAAAGCACATGCTTTCTGCCAGAATTTTCCTAGTTAATATTATTTCAGTATTTAATTTCAATCCAAATCTTGATTTATCAATGTTGTTTCAGTCCACGTTTTGCATTTCTAAGCCACCCTGATTGTTGAAAAAACAAAAACAAAATGCAAAGTAGAAATCTAATAACCAGAGAAATAAAGTCCACTGACTATGAATCGTTTCAAAAAACAGTTAGGCAAACTCTATTACAGTCTTTGACCATTATATCAGAACATAGTATTTGGTTGGACCTTCATAATTAATATAAGTGAAAGTTATTCACAAAAGTTGGCTAGACAATAAATATCAATACTGATGATATTACCATATGTAATATTCATTGCAGAGAAGCACACAAACTCTCCAAGAAACGCCAGCGCCATGAATGAAGATGCTCTCAATCCAGAAAAAATATCTAACCAAATAACATTTGTGTGATTAATTATAGTTACTGCATGCCCAGGGTTTAGATACTTATAACTGAAGGGTATTTTATACCAGTGCATGCTGAGTTTTAGAGCATTTAGGAGCAAAGATCCATTTTTTCACTGCAGAAATTTGAACAAGGAAATACACATTCAGAAGGAGCTGCCATAATGCAGGTACTGCAACTATAAATGTAGATCAATTTTCAATAACTGATTACCTTGCTTTATTGAAAAATCATCATGAATAAGCTAAATGGAAAGGTTGCTTTAGGATGTACAATTCCCTCTCTGGCATCTCCTTTAATTCTTTCCGCCATTTTGACTTGCAGAATTGACTAACTTGGAATCCACAGATACTGGCATTTTGAGATATGGAGTGCAGAATTCCAACATAAAAAACTATTTCTATGGCTCCTCTTGCACTGCCTTTCTCCGACATCATCAGGGCAATCAGCATTGACTAATTCAGTGTAGAAAGCAATGGTGATGGAGGAGAAATAGAAACAGAATGGTTGTTCCCCAAGGGTTATGCACTCATGTTGTAAGCCAGTTATTTCTGCTGGGACTGCTTAACAGCTTCTTGTGCTAGGAAGAAATCTGCATTTCTTCCACCCAGGAGAATCATTAAATATATCTTTGTCGAAATGCTGCAGCTGTCTTTGGGCATTGCCATTTCCCAAAGGCTGACAAACCAAGCAGCTTCATCAGTGCAATGAAGCTTGTCAGAATTGTCAAAATATTTCCATATTGTCTTGACAAATGGTTACACATATGCTAGAAGAAGACCATTAAGGACTGTGCATGTACTATACATATAATAATGTAGTTAGGAATAGATTGGCATAAATACTTTTAATGGTTCAAATGTATGTATTGTTATGGAAAATCAGTGGTTGGGATATTGATTTCAAATTGGAGAAACCAAGGAGATGACATTGGAGAAGCAAGGGAATAGATGAGGAAAAGCTTATTTTAAGCTTGGGACAAAGTTAAACTGTAAGAAAAAGGATAACAATCATGCCTTTCTAATTCATTAGAACAGTGTTAGTCAATCTTGTCAAGTTTAATATGTCTGGACTTTAACTCCCAGAACTTCTCAGCCAGTTGAAGGAACACTGCACTAAAGTATAAAAGGGAGGGAGGGAAGGAAGGAAGAAGGAAAAACTTAGGCTTTCAAGATTCTCTTTCTAGAGCTGTAAATAAAGTATAGTTCTAACTAGAGTTGGGCAATCTGTTTTCTGACCTGGACTTCCTCAAACAGCTTGCACAAACCCATTCTAAATGCCAGTAGACAACACTGTTGTTGTATTGCTTTATGCCTTTCAGACGTCAGATAGCAAGGAAGAGAAAGTAATGAAAATCTGGTTTATATAGATCTGATTGCCAGGTATAATTTTAATGATTTTGCAGCAAAGACATCCTTGGGTAGGCAATGGATTATCAAATAATTCAAGTTGGCAAACACAACAAAATGATCAATATTGCCATTCTGGCTTTCCTTTCTCTGAAGATGTCTCTGCTTTGCAAGATCTTTGCAAACAATGTACCAAATTTGTGGGCATAAAAGTTGGATGGATGAATTCTTTGGATCTCTTCAAGGGAAGAAGAAGAGATTCTTCTCTGAATATTTCTCAACAAAGGAGTCTGTCTAGTGCTGACGGTAGAACTACTACTTAAAAGTTACAAGGACTTCCTTCCAAGAATCTTTCTGGATTTCAATTGAAATTGAAGAGCCTTGGTAGTACAGTGGTCTAAGGCACCCTGTTATTAAGCTGGTTATTAAGACCAGCTGCCTGCAATTACTGCAGGTTCGAATCTCGCCAAGGCTCAAGGTTGACTCAGCCTTCCATCCTTTCTAAGGTAGGTAAATTGAGGACCCAGTTGTGGGGGCAATAAGCTGACTTTGTATAAATATACAAAAGGATGAAGGCTATTGCTGAGCACATTGTAAGCCACCCTGAGTCTCCGGAGAAGGGCGGCATATAAATCAAATTTTTTTTAAAAAATGCTGTAGTCAGGCTCAGGACAGCTGGACAGATAATTGTCCAGTTGTAATTGAATAAATGTAATACCGCTAAGCTCTATCTGTGAGAATTTCTCTGAAGTTGTCTTCTTCTTAGAAGTAACTTCTAAACCTATTCTTTTCTTAAAGTCTATGAAAATTGGTACACGCTCAAGAATAAATAGAAAGTATTAACTTTAAAGAAAACAAGACAAATACTTCTTAGCTCAGAA